GGTTCAAGTGATTCTCCTGCCTCAGCCTTCTGAGTAGATGAGATTACAGGCATATACCACCACACCCAGCTAATTTTTTGTATTTTTAGTAGAGACAGGCTTTCACCATGTTGGCCAAGCTGGTCTTGAACTCCTGGCCTCAAGTGATTCGCCCACCTCGGCTTCCCAAAATGCTGGGATTAGAGGCATGAGCCACTGTGCCTGGCCCTACATTTTAAAGATTATCTGTACAAACATTCTACATACATTATTTCACTTAATCCTGACAACAACTTTTGGGTAGGAAATATTCCTATGTACAGATGAGGAGACTGAGGCACAGGGAGGTTAAGGTTAAATAACTTGCCTAGAGTTACACAGCGAGCAAGTGGTTAATACAGGGATTCCAACCCAATGTCGGTGGCAGAGATATTAGCTGAATATTTTGACTCTACCAGCCTATAAGTTTACTATGCCATGCTCCAAATTTGGGTTTGGGAATCATAGCAGTTTGAGAAGTTGGCAAACTGATATCAGCAGTGAAATTGAGGAAATGGTGTTGTGGAAATCTTACAACTTTGGCCAGGTATGGTGGCTCACGCCTGTAATTCCAGCACTTTGGGAGGCTGTCTCTGGCAGATCCCTTGAGGTCAGGTGTTTGAGACCAACCTGACCAACATGTTGACACCTGTCTCTACTAAAAGTACAAAAATTAGCTGGGCGTGATGGCACATGCCTGTAATCCCAGCTACTTTGGAGGCTGAGGCAGGAGAATTGTTTGAACCTGGGAGGTGGAGGTTGCAGTGAGCCGAGATCGCGCCATTGCACTCTAGCCTGGGTAACAAGAGCGAAACTGTCTCACAAAAGAAAAGGAAACCTTACAACTTAAGCAAAGATGAGGGTTATGTTTCCAGGTTCCTGGGGTTTCTCCTGGAATCTGCTAAGGAAGCAAGGTTGCTGGAAGCTGGTCCCAGCTGGGTCAGGATCCAAGACTGAGTAGCCAGCAGTTCCGAGCCCACCTCCACAGCCCCGGGAGAGCATGTGGTTGGCCCAGCCCATGGCAGGTGACCACCCAAGGGTCAAGAAAGGGCAGCTGCCAGAGAAAGAGGCTGGAAGTGGGCATACAGCCAAAGAGATGTTCCTTTGCTGGAACAAGACTCACCCCGTGTTGTGTGTTCCTTACTTCTTTACATCTACAGGACAAGTAAGTGGAATGAATGTCTTCACATCCCGAAGTCTTGAGACCACTAAGGGGATTGCAGTCATGGACAAGGAAGGCCATGTCCTAGGTCATTCCAAAATTGCTGGGCAAAAGGTGAGAAACAGCATAGAACTATAGCTGCTTACCCTTTGGGCAAAGACTTGACTTTTCTGTTTGAAAGTCAGTAACAAGGCCGGGCGCGGTGGCTCAAGCCTGTAATCCCAGCACTTTGGGAGGCCGAGGCGGGTGGATCACGAGGTCAAGAGATCGAGACCATCCTGGTCAACACGGTGAAACCCCGTCTCTACTAAAAATACAAAAAATCAGCTGGGCATGGTGACGCGTGCCTGTAATCCCAGCTACTCAGGAGGCTGAGGCAGGAGAATTGCCTGAACCCAGGAGGCGGAGATTGCGGTGAGCCGAGATCGCGCCATTGCACTCCAGCCTGGGTAACAAGAGCGAAACTCCGTCCCAAAAAAAAAAAAAAAAAAAAGAAAGCCAGTAACAAATTCATGTCTGCCTTTAACCTTTCTTTACGCATCTTTCCTCAGCATGCTGAGAGAGAAATTTTGCCTTTTGCCCCCTGATATGTAAAAGATGGGGTGTTAGTCTGGGTTCTCTGGAGGAACAGAACCAATGGTATCTATGTACATATCTTTTTTTTCTGAGACAGAGTCTTGCTGTGTCGCCCCAGCTGAAATACAGTAGTGCAATCTTGGCTCACTGCAACCTCTGCCTCCTGAGCTCAAGCGATCCTCCCATCTCAGCCTCTCAAGCAGCGGAGACCACGGGCACACACCACTGTACCCAGCTTATTTTTGTATTTTGTAGTAGAGACGAGTATTCACCATGTTGGCCAGGCTGATCTCAAACTCCTAAGTTCAAGTGATTTTCCCACCTTGGCCTACCAAAGTGCTGGAATTACAGGTGTGTGTCACTGCACCCAGGCAGTACATGTCTAATAAGAGATTTGTTCTAAGGAATTGGCTTGCACAATTGTGGGAATCTGCAGGGCAGGCCTGGAGGCTGGAAACTTGGGCAGGAGCTGCTGCTGCAGTCTTGAGGCAGAAGTTCTTCTTTGGGAAACCTCAGTTTTTGCCTGTAAGGCCGCCAACTGATTGAATGAGGCCTACCCACATTGTGAAGGGTAACCTTCTTTTCTTTTCTTTCTTCCTTTTTTTTTTTTTTTTTTTGAGACTGAGTCTCGCTCTGTCATCCAGGCTAGAGTGCAGTTACATGATGATCTTGGCTCACTGCAGCCTCCGCCTCCCGGGTTCAAGCGATTCTCCTGCCTCAGCCTCCCAAGAAGCTGGGATTACAGGCGTGTGCTATCACGCTCGGCTAATTTTTATACTCCTGGCCTCAACTGATCCTCCTGCCTTGGCCTCCCAGAGCACTGGGAGGTGTGAGGCACTGCACCCAGCTAAGAGCAAATATCAAATCAGCAAGTTGTTCCCAGCACCTCCTGCCTGCCGGGCTCAGTGCTAGGCTCTGGAGACCCACACTGTTGGCCACTGAGAGCCCCTGCTCCCCAGGAGCCCCAACCTCCCAGCCAGAAGGTAGCCTCAGGCCTGTCTGGCTGTCTGGAGTCCATCTCACCAGCAGAAACTTCATTTTGGGGATAAGTGGCATGTTAGGGTCAAAGGAAAGCTTTGTTGATCTGCTTTAAAAAAAATAGTCTTTTTTTCTCTGAAGAGTAAAGTGTGTGCAACTATGCGTAAGCATAAACATTCTTCTATTGCCTCCCTGTCCCTGGAAGGTGATTTTCTTTGGCTACAATTTCAGAAAATGCGTAACCAACAATATCTGATGGTAACAGGGCACCGCTGGTCAGATTTCAGGTGATTCCTGGATGTTGTTTCCCCCAACTGGCCCCATAAGCCACTGCTTTGCACACACTACCTCCTAATAATGGCGTCTTACTTGGAGTGTCCTTCCCAAACACGGGATCAATGGAGAGAGGCGGGCCTCATCCCACTGATGCGGAAACATAGCACGCCAGCAGCTGCTTTTCCCTTCCGGAAGTCAAGCAATTTTACTTTACGTCCCTGAGACTTTTAAATTTTATTTTATTTATTTTATTTTAGAGACTGAGTCTCACTGTGTCGCCCAGACTGGAGTGCAGTGGTGTGATCTTGGCCCACTGCAACTTCCACCTTCTGGATTGAAGTGATTCTCCTGCCTCAGCCTCCCGAGGAGCTGGGATTATAGGCATGAGCCTCCATGCCCGGCTGATTTTTGTATTTTTAGTAGAGTTGGGGTTTCACCATGTTGGCCAGCCTGGGCTCGACTCCTGACCTCAGGTGATCTGCCCACCTCAGCCTCTCAAAATGCTGGGATTACAAGCATGAGCCACTGTGCCTGGCCACTGAGACCTTATTTTAAAAACAGACCTCCTCAGCTTCCTCTGTTTTTTGGGGGGAAAGGCATTCCCTGCAGAGGGAACTGCAGGAGCGTGACTGTCACCCGAAGCAGGGCAGAGGTGTGAGCAGAGAGCAGGGGCCGGGCGGTAGGAGGAGCTGGCAAGGTAGGTCAAAGCCAATCGTGGGAAGCTAGAAATGGAAGGAACAGAGCTCAGGGAAGGATGGGGACAGGTGTGCCTGCTCCTCTTGAACACACAGTGTGCTGTTTGTGGTGGTGTGTCTTACCCAGGGGTGGGTTCTAAAGTTAACATGCTAGCTACTCGGAAGGCTGGGGCAGGAGGATCACTTGAGGCCAGGAAGTCAAGACGGCTTGGGCAACATAGTGAGACCACATCTCTGCAGTAAATCAAAAAGTTAGTTGGGCTTGGTGGGACATACCTGTGATCTTGGCTACTTGGGAGGCCGAGGTAGGAGGATCGCTTGAGCCTGGGAGGTCAACACTGCAGTGAGCCATGATCACGCCACTATACTCCAGCCTGGATGACGGAGTAAGACCCTGTCTCTAAAAATAAACAAAAGGAGAATGTGAGCTGTTTTATACTCAGAATTTCCCTTACAAGTCCCTTGAAGTGCCCTTGAGGGTACCTGGTTTTGTGCATATCACCCATGCAGTAAATTGTATGTTTAAATGTTTGATGTATATAGAAAAGTTTACAAAAATGTTATAACCTGTATATAACACAATTTTTTAGTGTAACACTTGTAAATCGCTATATGAAACGTGGGTATGGACAGGCGGCCTCGTGTGGGTCCTGTGCTGTGCCCGCATCCTCAGAGCTGGGCATTTGGAGGCGCCCCCACTAGCAGGTGTGGGAGTTGCTGCCGAGCCAGGTCAGGACAGGAGCCAGTGGCAGAGACCTGGCTTGGAAGGGAAATACAGAGCGAACCTCTGTGGCCAATCCAGCGTTTCCACCGAGGAACAATTTGGTTCTCCGTGAGGACTTGTCTAGAAGCCACCTTTGCTTGTACTTAGTGGATAGTTTATTGGAGGTGGTTTGGCAGATGGATGGAGACCACTGTGGAGTCAGGAAGAGGTGAGTCCCCTCTCAGCTATTCCTGCACTAAATGCAGCCGACCTCCACACACCTGTACGTGGAAAGGTGCAGGGAAGGTGTCCCCTCTGCGTCTTTCCATGGGTGTTCTTTTTCTTAGTGAGAAGAGAGGGTTGCTGTTGCCTGTCTCTGGCAGGATTTTTGGGATCCCTGGAAATCGTCTTGCTCCTATACTAAGCTTTTTTTTTTTTTTTTTTTTTTTTTTTTTTTTTTTTTTTTTTTTTTTTTTTTTTTTTTTTTTTTTTTTTTTTTTTTTTTTTTTTTTTTCTTTTTTGAGACAGTTTCAATCTGTTGCCGAATCTGGAGTGCAGTGCAGTGGTGTGATCTCAGCTCACTGCAACATCTGCCTGTCAGGTTCAAGTGATTCTTATGCCTCACCCTCCTGAGTAGCTGGGACTACAGGTACATACCACCACACCTGGCTAATTTTTTCTATTTTTTGGTAGAGACCAGAGTTTCACCATGTTGGCCAGGCTAGTCTCAAACTCCTGACCTCAAGCGATCCACCTACCTCAGCCTCCCAAAGTGCTAGGATTACAGGCATGAGCCACCGTGCCCGGCCTAAGCTGCTTTCTTTTCATTTTTGCTAGGCTATTAGAGAAACAACAGTGTCCAGGGGAGTGCTGCTTGGGACCTCAGCTCTGATTCCTGAAGTCTTCACCGTCTTCTTTAAAAGGTAAGAGGCACGCTCATATCCCCAGGTAGGAAAAAACATTTTGAAAGTCAAATTCTTATAAAACCTGTCAGATACTGACCCTGGTGGAGGATGGGAAGAGGTTGGCTCAGTAACCTTCCCATAAACACTCATCACAGCTAAGACAGTCTGATTGATTGGGGCAGATGTGGAAATCCAGGTGTGTGGATTCCCCTGAATGGGGAATCTGGCCCAGGTTCTGCCCCCAGTTACCCTGCATCATTGGCTTATCCAAGGACCTTCCACGGCCATTTCCTCACCTCTAGAATGAGGGGCTTCGATGATGTGCAGGTTCTTCCAGCTCTGATGTGCTATGAATATTGCTCAAGCCCTCCCCTCCACACCCTCGTCCAAGCATGTTTTAAATTAGCTTCAGCGACTTCGGATTCAGATTCATCCCTTTTAAGAAGCCAGAAATGGCCCATGAGGTAGAGGACCTGGGCATCAGTCATGGTTTCTGTAGCCGTCAGTTTGAGAAACCTAACCTACAAGAGCTCAGGCCCGAGGGGAGATGTGGGGCTTTAGGGACCGGAACTGGCAAAGAATGCAGCCCATGACAGCTTGAACAGAAGCTCCCCTGCTGCGCGTCTCCCTCTCACCCTCATGGGTGTTGGTTCCTTCTCTCCTGCCAGATTGGCTTCCTCATACTGATGAGGGACCCAATTGCTAGTAACTCCCATCTCAGCCTCATAGCTGCCTGATCAGAGGTGGAACATAGCAAACCCCAGGGGAGGCAGGAATGTCTTCCCCTCAGGGCGGACTCCTGGGTAAGGGTCCTGTGGGCCTGGGTCGGGTTGTGTGCCTGGCACTGCACATCTCCCCTCCATTGTGCACGAGGCTGGGAATTGCCTGCTAGGACCACACATGGAGCACATTTCCAAGAAGGAGGGATGGGACGGGCGTGGTGACTCATGCCTGTAATCCCAGCACTTTGAGAGACTGAGGTGGGCAGATCACCTGAGGTCAGGAGTTCGAGACCAGCCTGGCCAACATAGTGAAACACTGTCTCTACTGAAAATACAACAATTAGCTGGGCATGGTGGCAGGCACCTGTAATCCCAGCTACTTGGGAGGCTGAGGCAGGAGACTCACTTGAACCCGAAAGGGAGAGGTTGCAGTGAGCCGAGATCACACCATTGCACTTCAGCCTGGACAATAGAGTGAAACTCTATCTAAAAATAAAAAAAAAAAAAAGGACAGAGGACGGCAGCCAGCCTGGGCAGAGCCAACCATTACTTTCCCAAGCATGATCGAGCTGGATGGGCGCAGAGACTTTTGCTCCAGCAGGCACTCCTGGGCTGCTCTGGCTGGAGGTCCTGTTAAAGCTGGGCCCACATCCTATGAGGCCTACCTGCATAGCACAGGCTGCCTGGTAGGGAGAGAGGGTCCATTTCTCAATGGGCATGGAGGTGCCTGGATGGACGGAGCCATCAAGTGACCTCCCAGAAGCACCATCCCAGAGCCATGACAGCAGGTGGTTCCCAAGCTGGAGTGTCCTTGGTGGATCTTCTAACTTGGCTCTCTCAAAGCCCCACCCCAGGGTAGAGACCACATTCTTTGTCTCTTACACTCTCTGAAGGTCAAAGTCAGGATGTCACATCCACATCAGAATAGCCCAGAGAGCACAGGCTCTGGAATCTGTGAGCAGCTTTTGAGCCGTGGGATTTTGGACAAGTTACTTTACTTCACCAGTCCAGGCCTTCGTTTTCTCATTTGCGTGAAGGGGATGAAAATAACACAAAGCTCAGAAGGCTATGGAGGTACCAAGCGAGCAAGTGCTGGTGACGTGTTGGACACCATGCCTGACGCACACGGATGCAGCTGCTCTTCTTGCCTGTTGGTGACTTGAATGGGCCTGCAGCGGCACGCAGGATGGAATTTGCCATCGGAGAGCAGAAGCTCAGCCACTGAAAACAGGCCCTAGGCTGGGCACAGTGGCTCACGCCTGTAATCCCAGCACTTGGGGAGGCCACGGCAGGCAGATCACTTGAGGCCAGGAGTTCGAGACCTACCTGGCCAGCATGGTGAAACCCCATCTCTACTAAAAATACAAAGATTAGCCAGGTGTGGTGGTGCATGCCCGTAATCCCAGCTACTCAGGAGGCTGAGGCAGGAGAATCGCTTGAGCCCGGGAGATAGAGATTGCAGTGAGCCAAGATCACACCATTGCACTGCAGCCTAGGTGACAGAGGGGGACTCAAAAACAGAAAACAGGCTCCAATCCAGCTGTTCAGGTGCACTAAATATTTTAAAAAAAACAGGCCCCGATTAGCTGTTCAAAAAATAAATAAGCCCTGATAGTTTAATATCACTTGTGAGCTGTGCCTTGTCTCTTACAGGACCCCGTTTTCCCGGACAAATGCAGGGTCATTGTGGATCTGGAAACTGGCTTGTACTGTCGCGTCAATGGGACTGATGTTGCCAATTTCTTTTAGTTTGTTTCCACAGGTTGGACGGGTAAGTGCCCCCATTCCACTTTTCTCTAAAAGGTTTTTATTTTGCAGTTGTAAGAGTAAAATAAATTATTCTTCTAAAAAATCTGCAAAAAGTTTACAAAAGTATAAAACAAGATGAGGTGCAGTGGTTCACATCTGTAATCCCAGCACTTTGGGAGGCCAAGGTGAGAGGATTGCTTGAATCCAGGAGTTCAAGACCTGCCTAGGCAACATAGTGAGACCCCCATCTCTGCAAAACATAATACACAAATAGCTGGGTGTGGCAATGCACACCTGTTGTCCTAGCTGCTCAGGAGGCTGAGGTGGGAGGATTACCTGGGTCCAGGAGGCTGAGGCTGCAGTGAGTCGTGATTGTGCCACTGCACTCCAGCCTGGGTGACAGTGATACCTTATTTCAAAAAACTAAAATAGCCGGGCGCGGTGGCTCAAGCCTGTAATCCCAGCACT